TTTCTCTCCATTTAAACCCCCAACATTAGGTCCTCATTTTAGGGTGCCAATCTTTATGGAAGCAGACTCCTACATATTTCTCCCACAAAGGCTTGTGGATTCAACACACTGACCGTTTTGTACTCCATTGCAACACCCGGGATCCTTTGAATAACACACAATGGCTTTAAAATTATTTGTTACCCTCTTAGTAAAAATCTCTACCAATAAAACTTGATAACTATATTAAAGAATGCTAAATAAAAAGGAACTTCAGGACCAGGTTAATTATTTATTTTAAGGTGTAAAAACAAAAACAAAAAACTGAGAAAAACTGAGACCCAGAGAGGTTAAGCAGTTTCTCCAAGGTCCTATTTAGTAAGTGGCAGAACAGAGATTTGAGAGAATCTCTCATCAGGGACACCAGATCTCATGGACATGCACTCATTGGGTGATTCTCATTTCTAAAGAAATGTTCTGTTCTCAGATCTCATCCATCACACACTGGGCAGCAAGGGAAGGACGAGATGGTTTGTTGTCAGGCACGTAGAGGCCACAGGCTGGGATAACAAGCCAACTGATGTCACGGATGTGCTCCCAAGTCTCCCCCGTTAGGCCACATCAGCCTCTTCATGTCCTCTGGGTAGACTCGATGCCTTTCCACAATAAAGAATAAAAAAGCCATTCTGTTTTCAGAATTAAATTTTTTTTTGAAATCGTAGTGATGGTTGTTCAACATTGTAAGTGTAATTAAACAAGTGCACTGGACTATGCACTGAAAAGGACCAAGGTGTTGGATTTTATGTTATATATACTTTTCTACAACAAAAAAGAAAATAGGAATAATATTGAACTCATGCCATCTCTGGATTGCCACTGGCTTTAATAACATCTCAAAGCCTTCTCACCCTCATATGGAAAGAAAATGTGAACCAATGTAGTTTCTCCTTGTCTTCCACGGAGATCACAGTAGATACTCCAGACATGACAGCTGAGCTTTCTCTGGGACAGGATCAGACATGGACTGGGAATGCTCACAGACTGAACAGCCCTGGCTGCCTCCCACTGCGAGCTGTGTATCACCCTAAGAAAAGGCAAATTCGCTGCAACACAATGGGAGTTCCTGGAAGCATTCAATACCATTTTCACATTGATCAACATGTACAGGCAGTCTAGCCTAAATCGTATTTCTTTATCTTCCCTACTCAACAGTGTAAGGAAAAATTGGGTCATCTCACTGGTCAGGACACAAAGAGGATTCTTGTTGTCACAAGATATTCTGCTGGGTTTTTTGGGGGGTGGGGATGGGAAGGAGGCAGGGGCAGTCACGGGGAATCATAAAACTAACAAAAGGCGACAGTGATGGCTGAGAAAACAGGTGGAGGTGTGCCTGTGTTCTTTTGCCTGGAAGAACAGATCATGGATAAACTTTACACAGCTTTGGTTACTCACTTAACATCCCTGTCAATCAGCAGATGGAATCTCTCTTTGCCAAGTTCTAATGCATTTCACGTTCATGCTCAGCATCAGTTCATGGGTCTTGCCAAGTACCAATAAACTGCTGATGGAGAGGTGAGACTCATGAATCCACAGCACAGTCTCTGGCTCCAGTGCATCAAGGAAAGCACGCTCCATTCGGTGAACTTTCACTAAAGGCAGCAGGTACAAGGATCCAGATATGAACATTGAAGGTGACCGCTGTCCATAAGAAACATTTACTTTTGTAGTAAAAAAATATATCTAAAGGTGACCCCTAAGGATTATTCACATCTATTACCTAACAGGGCTCATTATGAGTAGTGCAGCAATTCAATTCTTGCCCTAAAGGACAGTCCATAGAATAATTATTGCACTCTAAGATTAAGGCAACCTAGAAAATAAATGTCAAGAAGGCTTTAGCCTATGGTATGCTGATACTTTTTGAAGTCAGTCCTTGAATACAAGGGCCCAAAACTCTCGAACCGAAAAGTTTTGATTCCTATCAACCAGCCATCTGAGTGCCTGGGCTTCTCTCTTGGATTGCTGGAAGCTTGGGATCCACATCTCTCGCAAAGTGTTCCCCCGTGGAGCCAGAGGGGAGAAAGCAAACGCTGTAGGCTCGGGGCAGCTCAGATGGGTAACTTCTGCCTCCCACTTTTTGGGTGGTAAGCCCTGCATTGATAGAAAAAAACAACAATAAGAATTAAGAAGATGAAAGGAATCACCACTCCTGTGACTCCTCTGCCCGGTAATGGACCCCCACTCATACATTTTCTCAAACAAGTACCTGCACTCCAGAGAGTTTCCATAATTATAACCGTGAATACACTTAAAGGTGACACGAAGTGCCTAACCTTTATTGCTATTTTTCTCTGCAGAAGACATTCTAGATGGTTTCATTTAACCCTATGGCAGCCCTATTAAATGAGGACTCCTGTTAAAGGAGCTCTGGCCATCCTGTTGGGTCAGCATTGGACTGCTAACTGCAAGGTTGGCCATTCGAAAACACTCACCCTCCATGCGAGTTGGATGGCGTGACCTGCTCCCATGAAGCCTTGGGAGTCCTATGCAAGATTGCTTATGAGTCACGGTCTACTCCGTGGCAGTGGGCTTGAGTTTTAGAGCTCATGTTAAGGCGGTGGGAACTAAAGCTCAAATAAGTAAATTTGTATGTCCAGTATACCTAAGACTGAACCTGATCTCGCTAGATTCAAAATTTCCATCCCTTTTATTGTTTATTTATCGGTTCATTTATTTATTTCCTTTTCTCTATAGGCCACTAGCACTACTCTCCTTCCCATAGACCACTAATACCGTTCTTTGTAATTAAAGCCTTTTTCAAATATGTTCTGCTTTCTTTCCGATTGAGGTTTGTCTCTGTTTTACTTTGTTATTACTGTTAGATTTTAAAATATGTGTTTCTGTACATGAAATCCAGGAGAGGTAATCTACAGAGATAGTAACTGTATTAATGGCTCCTTGGGGGCATGGCAGGGGAGGTTCGAGGGAAATGGGGAGCCAATAACAGTGAGTACCAGACAGAAGAAAATGTTCTAAAATTGATTGCAGTGATGACTGAACGTGTCTGCTCAATATGATTGAACTACAAAATTGTATATGTGGATTACATGTCAAAATATAAATAAAGTCTTTTTGAAAATGTATTTTCTGTGTTATTTTATTAATATGTCAACATGCACAGACATATATCGTTCTGATTATTTTTTCACCAACACATTTTCCCCTTCTATCCATGTTGTCATTTGTACATCCCTTGATTCTAATGTGTTTCCACTGCATTCATCTATGCCTTAGACAACATTATTGTTTCCCCACAACAATAATAATATCTGATGTTTGCATAGGACCTCACGGCTTTCCGAGTGGTTTCCCATGGACCTCTACTTCTACTAGCCTGGTCCAAGCTCTACCTTGGCTCTTGTCAATAGTCTCCTCACTAATCTGCTTGCTTCCACCCTTGATCTACTTCAGACTATTCAAAGCCGTCAGAGGGACCCGATTAAAAGACCAATCAGATTCTGTCGGTACGCTGGTCAGTATTCCCCGATGGCTTTCCTCCTACTTTTGAAAGAGAGCATGCAAGAAATAAAATATGTGACTGGAAATCAAATGGAAAAACAGTAAGAGATTCAGAAAAATAAACAAATAATACCCCCCAAAATCAAAATTTTAAACCAGTAATAGTTGAACTTAGAAGTAATCTAGTTCACATCACAGAACTCCCAAAAGCTCAATATGCACCAGATATTCCCAGACTGTATGTGTGTTGGTGGTGATGGTGGGGAATTAATTAAAAAGAATTAAATTAAAGTCTGTTTAAGAAGCACTGAGATAGCCAGATCCTTTCCCCTCTGTCTCATAACTAAATGTCTACCTCTCTCCTTTATCTGAAAAATAACTAGAGATTTATTATCTGCAGATGGAAAGTGGTTCTTTTACTCTGAGACGATAAGGCAACAGCTGAGGGGAGTGATATGATGTACTGGATATTGGGACCTTTGCCATCTCCTATAATCCACTCTCAAAATGCTAGTGACCAGTCTTGTAAGCCAGGCACAAAAATAAAAGGTCAGTCTTGGGGGAATTTACAATGTTCAGGAAGACATAATTCAGATATTTCCTAGGAAAACCTAACCAGATCACCCTGCAGTGAAGTTCACAACCAACAAGCCCCCTCACACAGAGAACTTCCAACCAAAACTTCCCAACCTGAGCAGGTAACCAAATATGATGGCTAATTTTTTTGTGTCAATGTGACTAGATTATGATTTAGTTGTTTATCAGACACTAGATTGGTTGCTGTTTCATAATCTAACAGTGTGATTTGATGCAATCAACCAATCAGCCGAAGAGGTAGTGTTCTACCTGCAGAATATCAGCTGATGTTCCGACAGAGTCATTTTACTTTGGTCCCTGCACTCCTTTTATCACCTGACCAAGGACCTTGGGATGTAAACCTGCAGAAATCTCCTGCCTGATCTATGGGTTTGGGACAGACTAGCGCCACAATTGCATGAACCAATTCCTTGGGATAT